CGGCGCTGGTCAGGCGGTTGTAGGCCAGGTTGAGCTCGCCCAGGCCGGGCGTGGCTGCCAGATCCCGGGCGCCCAGCGTGGCCAGGCGGTTGTGTGGCATCACCAGGGCCCGCAGGCTGCGGGGCAGGCCCGGGGGCACGCGCTGCAGCTGGTTCCCGTAGAGGTGCAGTGTGTGCAGTTTCCGCAGAGGCCGCAGCGCCTTGGGGGGCAAGCCTGAGCCCCCCAGCTCATTGTGTTGGAGCAGCAGATACCTCAGGCCCCGCGCCCCCTTTAGCCGGGCAGCTTCCACTTGCTGGATGCGGTTCCGACCCAAGTGCAGCACGGCCAGGGTCCGGGGCAGGCCGGCGGGCACCGCCCTCAGCTGGTTGTAGGAAAGGTCCAGGTACTCCAAACTGTGCAGCTTGCTGTGGGGAGAAAGGGGGTTCCGGGGCTCAGAGAGAGGCCCAAGGTGGGTCATGACGAGTAGGCCTGATGTGGATTTGGTGGTGGTGGTGGTGGCAGTGGTGGTCCCCGGTCTTGAACTCAGGGCCTGAGCACTATTGTGCTCAAGGGGAGCACTCTACCACTTTGAGCCACGGCACCGCTTCAGGTTTTCTGAGTGGTTCAATGGGGATAAGAGTCTCACAGGACTTTCCTGCCCCGACCACCTTCAAACCCCCATCTACAGATCTCAGCCTGGGATGACAGGTGTGAGCCACCAGCGCCCAGCCCTGCGGAAGCCAGGTAGGGTAGTGCAGACCTACAATCCCAGCTCATCAGGAGGTGGAAGCAGGAGGCTCATCAGTGTGAGGCCAATCCCCAATAAGGAAACGGAAGTCCCAGGCCTAAAGCGTGAATCCTGGGTCCCTCCTGCTAGCATGGGCCTGCACCCCTGCACCCCAAGGCCTGCATGGCCCCCCCCCACCTGAAGGTGGTGGCATCCAAACTGCTGTCTGTCAACTGATTGTGCTGGAGAAACAGTTCACGGAGGCAGGTCTGACGGCTCAGGGCTCCCCGGGGCACTTTAGAGATGAGGTTGTTCTGGAGAAGAGTGAAGGGGGTAAGACAAGAAAGTCTTCAGTAGCCAGCACTCATGGCTCACGCCTGTCATCCCAGCCACTCAGGAGGCTCAGCTCTGAGGATTGCGGTTCAAAGCCAGCCCAGGCAGGAAGTTCTATGAGACTCGTTTTTTGTTGGTGGTGGTGGTGATGGTCATGGCGCTTGAACTCTGGGCCTGGGCGCTGTCCCTCAGCTCTTCAGCTCAAGGCGAGCGTTTTACTGCTTGAGCCACAGCAGAACACCACTTCTGGTGTTCTGGTGGTTCGTTGGAGATCAGAGTCTCATGGACTTTTCTGCCCCGGCTGGCTTTGAACCATGATCCTCAGATCTCAGCCTCCTGAGTAGCTAGGATGACAGGCGTGAGCCACCAGCGCCTGGCTTCTATGAGACTCTTTTTTTTTTTTTGT